TTCCATTTAAATGTTTGAAAGAACCTAGCCAGATGTGTCAAGAAAGATCCACTATTTTTTTTCGTATTACTAAGTAATATCCAAGGTCTGAATCAATAATACGCAAATAAATCTATAAAGTATACATGTTTATATACAAAGCCTTTGTAAGACCCCAATACTGAAGTTTGTGCCATGTGTATCACGCTAAGTATCGTAACCTACCTGCTAACCGAGAAACCTGTTCCTGCTGTCTGCCACCTTAAGGGGTAGCCTTCCTTCCCCCCCTCACCCCTCCAGTCCTGGGTCTTCCCAGTGCTTCCCCCGAGGCAGAACCAGTGTTTATGTGGGCAGCAGAGTCAGACAGCTCAAGACAGTGATTCAGCTGATACCTAAAAACCCGTTAGTTTTGGTAAGCCTAGTATTCATTACATCAGATCCCTGATCTCAGCATCTGCATGGTCATAAAGACACTGGCAGTGTCTTTACACACAACCAAAATACACAACCAAAGGTGGGAGAGAAGGGCGGGATCGTACTTTTCTACAACTTTGATTTTGATTTCAAATGGCCTACAATATTTGTATATGTTAACATACAAATACAGATTATAAAAATAACTCCGAATGAGGCACAAATACCCTGTTAATAATAAATTACAAAAGGAAATAAACCAAAGGCTGTACAACAGCTGAAAAGAATTTTCTTAAAACCATTTTTGCAAGAAACTGGAAGAAGTCTTTAGATTGCTAAATATAAGTGGACATTAGCACAAAACATGTTTTTACGAAGCTATTATCTTTAATTTAAAGACAACTGTCAGTAACAATAGATTAATAATTAACTTTTTTTTTTTTACTTTCAAGAGGTCACACCATTTTGAAAATTATATTGGCCATCTCCACTGGTCAGAAGGAGGTTCTTCAACTAGAGGCTCCCACGGTTTCCACTGTATCATTTTTCTTGCCAGGGAAAGCTCATTTTCAGCCTGTTAATAAACACCATACACAAATTCTTAAATGCCAAAGTATTAAATTACCTGTATTTCAGTTCATTACCTTGGTGACGTCACTACCTATCACGGTCAGGAACTACCACAAATTTAATCTATAAATATCAAAAGGAACTGTGTGTTTTGTTTTTTTTTTTAAAAAAAACATACTTAATCACCTCCAAATACCCAAACAGACAATCTGTTCACCTAGTCATTCCCAGTGACAACTTCATGTTATTTTCCAGTCTATTTGGATTATCCCCCAATATTATTCAATCACCATCTGCCCTTTCCACTGATTTAGACTCTGTAAGAAGCAATGTAAATATACATGGTATACATGTAAGCATAATACAGTAAACAGGTAATTGTGTTAGGTTTTAATAGAGTCATCCCAATCGCTACATGACAATCCATTTTCAGATTTTTTTTTTTCCTGCTCGACTGTTTGTTTCGCAGCAAAGGAAGATATGGAAAACTGCCAATTTTCTGAACAGAAGCTCAGCCAAAGCAACACGGAAAACCACTGCTCCCTCCCCCTGCACAGTATCTAACCTTGAATTTCCCCTTTACCTGTACAATGACTTCTTCTATGTGACCACTATTCAGTTTGTCCTGTAGCTTTTGCACATCAGTCTCCTGTGTATTCAAATACATATAAATAAATGTTTAGTTTTACTGAGCAGCAGCAAGCCCAGATAAAGCATGAAAACAATAATTTAACCAGATCACACCCTAGTCTTCCTCAAAACTACCATCAAATTAGCTGGCTTCTGTCATTTTACATTATCAAAGAAATCTCACACACTTTTCTTACTGGAAAACAAACATCAAACTCTCAATGATAAATACAAAGAATGAGTACTATTTAATGACATCCAAAGAAGTATTAGCAGCTAAGGGCTTTAGTATGTATCTTGAAAGAAAATTTTGATCTTAGCTTTTTATAAAATGATATGCAACCTTCCAATTATCACCTTAAATACACAACACCAGTACCAAGTTTAATGTACCAAAAGGTGTTTTAAAATGTCAAAGGCAAGGATTGTGCTAAGATACTACATTGGTAAGAGCACATGCATTTTTTGTGCAGGTGTGTGGAAATTACCACTGTTCTACAAATCTTCAAAAAACTATGTTTTCTTCTAATTTTCACAGAAAACATCAGTAAGAAATCAACAATTCTTTTTAATATACCATCAAAATATCCCATCAATAACAAAAATAATCCTCAAGACTTCAATTATTTCTGAACTGATACCTGACAGTTACATATACTCCTGAAAAAGTCAGTCATTTTGAAAATCATTCTTCTCATCATAAAAATCTTTTCATGTGTAACATTTATGAAACAGCACTGTACTTACCTTTTGCACCAAATTAAATCGTTGATTTACAATCTGCTCAGTGTATTTCCTATATGCTGCATCTTTGGGAATGTTTTGCAGGACACCAAGGATTTTTGTGTACAGTATTCGTAGGCGCTGAAGTGATCACAAGACATAGATAAAATATACAACAAGAATTATTTAACTTCTTGTCCTACTTAACCTACTAGCTAATTACCTATAAACAAAATATACAGGGCTATGGTATTCAATCCATAAATGTAGGATTAACAAAATAACTAACTCTGTCTTGGGTAAGACTGGGATTTATCAGGACTGGGAAGTTACTACTGTCATATTCCTCAAAGGAAAAAAAAAAAAGAAGAAAAAAGAAAGTTGCAATCTGAAGTATGTTTGATGCAAAATGGAAACAATAAAAGCTGTGTTTCTAATACTAACCATACTTCTAAAAAATGAGGCAAATTCACGTCTAAACCACCAGTTTCTGAAAAACTACCTGGGAAGGATATAAAGAACTACATAAGCTACCAAAGCATAATGATATTATTTATTTTTCGGCACTTCTCCTCATGCTGGTGCAAAGTTCTGAGTGACAGACAGATTTAAATTAAAATAAAACCTGAAACTTTTATTGCTGGATTTAAATGCAGTGATAAAGGACACACTGGGGTGAAGAAATTGCAGCTTTTGGACCATATGTTGGCTGGGTAACTAAATCTAACTGAAGAGGAATGGATGTCCTATAGGAACAACAAGAAACAGAAGCAGAATACTGCAGTCAAAGAAATACAAAGAAAAAAAAAAGGAAATGAAAAGGGGACTGGCATAGAATCTATACTTCAACTAATGCATTGTTGATTTCTTTCCTCTTGGCTTTAAGTCTCTGGAAAAACTAAAATTTGTAGTAGAAGGTGTCTGACAAGGCTGTAGACTAAGCTAGAAAAATTTGTACAGAACAATAATCATTTTTTCAATGGTTCTTTCTGACAGTACTCCTAACTATTGGTGGCAAAAGCTTTTTTGAAATAGAATCGTTGTATAGTGGGAAATTTCAAAGCAGAGAAATTAAAGAATTACTGAAGTCCTTTCAAAGCTCATGCCTCCTGAATAAGCAAGCAAGATGTGGCAAACATATTTTCATTACTGAGCCTGAGGAGGTAAAAAGAAAGTACCAAACTGCTACAAGAACCACCTAACGTGGTTCCCAAGAACCACTGAAGTATTCCAATCTCAACAGTGCTTGCCATCACAGGGCCTTGATGTGGCTTTGCACCACATGGTTAGCCTCTATCATGTAAGACTAGTCTATTCCCTTAGTATAGTATAAGCTATTTCAGTACTTGTTGAAAACACAACATAGCAAGACAGCAAAAATCTGTATCCCTGTGAAGTAGAAATTACATTTATGAGGAACTGAATTTAAAGAGTTCTTTGCTTTTGCACTGGAGATGAGAGAAATCAAATATTAGTTCATAAAAGTACTTACACAAAGGAAGTTTTTGAAATCAGCACATACAACAAAAAGTACATGTGCAAAATAACTCCTAATTATATGAATTAAACCTTTAAGAATTCCTTTTCTTCCTTTATCGCTTTGGAACATTTTTACACTTTCATTAAGTTGGCACTGCTTTAAGGTACACAGCATACCTACATAGGCAAATACATAACAAAAAGCTTTGATCTCACAATTTACATTAAATACAGAACAAGACATGTGACATACCTCATGAGGGTTTTCAGCTACAGCCAATCCTACAAGTCCAGTGGTCTGCATAGACAACATAAACATACGTAATATACCTAAAGACCTGTTTCCATGCTATCTGATTATTTTGTCTGGGCTCAACATACACCTGACAGGGCCCGCTCTGTGACTTGAGCCTCTGCCTCCCACCACACACACCTCATATCAGAAATCTGCAGTATTTTGACCAGCGCACACGAAGGGCAGGGAGAGCGCGAAAAGAGGAGCAGCTCACATTACCACGCGGCTGCCGGAAAGCGTCCCGGTGGGGTGAAGTCACCCGCCTCCTTCCTCCCGGCACGACGGGCCCGCCCCCTCCGCTAACGGTCGCTGCTGCCCCGCAAACAGCTGGCGCCGGGCCCGCCGTCCCCCGTGGGCCGGGGAGTGGAACCGGGCCCTACGCCCCCCTCAGCCCTTTCCTCGCAGG